TGCCTGTTGTTGTTGGGCAAAGGAAACCTCAATCTAGTTGATGCAATGGGAAATAATACTGTATCTGTTTTAGCACATCTCCTGGGTTATTTCTACGCTCTTGTGGCATGACAAATGGGCAGTGGAGTGTCGGCTACACAGTAAAATTGTCTCCTAATGGTTTACTCTCCTGATGTGACTCAGAACAGAGCTACGAGATAAACATGCTAACACTCAAGAAATCTCTGAGTTATGGATTTTGTTTATTTGAAATATTCAAATTGTTTTGTCCCAATGATCCTAGGAGCTATGTTGTCCAGGGCTTCAAGCCCCTGGTAGGGTCACCCAAGGCAAACAGGTCCTAGGTGAGGGATCAGGCAACGCGCAGCCCAAAGAGCCCTTATGATGATCACGATAAATGACTCCAGTGTTCCCTCGCCCGGACGCGGGTCACCGGAGCCCCACTCTGGAGCCGGGCCCAGAGGTGGGGCATGTTGGCGAGCGGTGAACCCCGGTGAACCTTCAGGTGGGGGGACGGGTGCTGACTGGTGTTGGTGCTTTTGCGCCAACAGCAGCGTGGATTACCCACCCTTTTTGGAGTACTTAAAAGGGAGGGCTGTGGGGTTCCCCCTCGGGGACTCCCTTGTTCTACTGGGGGACTTCAATGCTCACGTGGGCAACAACAGTGAGACCTGGAGGGGTGTGTTTGGGAGGAATGGCCCCCCAGCTTAAGCCCGACTAGTGTTCTATTGTTGGACTTCTGTGCTCGGCACGAATTGTCCATAACAAACACTATGTTCAGGCATAAGGGTGTTTATATGTGCTCTTGGCACCAGGACACCCTAGGCCGCACCTCAATGATCGACTTGTCGTTTCAGCTGATCTGCGGCAGTATGTCGCATGTATATCCCACAAAGAAGCTTTAAGCATTTTCTTTTGATAATTTTAAAGAAAATGCCAAACTTGTATAGTGTATGAAAATCTGTTGTTTATATATATATATATATATATATATATTTATTATTATTTTTTTTATTTATTTATTTTTTTACATTTTTTTCATTTCAAACAAGCTATCAAAATCTGAATTCTGGTGATCTGTTGTCAACAGTGCCTCTTCTTTTCAGCTTCATCGCTACAGGCAACTAAAGTTTTATCATTTCCTGCTCTGTCATCAGAATGCCTTACATGGGTCATTGCTCTTTATAGTTATGAACAATTAATAATGTGGCATATGAAAAATCTTTAAGGGGATCACATTTGATTATTATGCAGAGGCATTTAAACACAGCTGTAAGTCATCTGGTCTAGAAACTCATTTCCATCAATTAAAAGGCCATAACACATGCAATGATTTAAAAAGTTATTAGACTCAATAGCCTTTAATGTGAAGTTTTTGTGCCTCCTCTTGGACTTCATTTATCTTGGACACAGATCCTCCAATTAGTCCATTCCTGGTTGAGTCTAGCTGTGCCTCCTGACCCACAAGGGTATTTTTTAATAATAATTATTTCACTTCTGGTGGTATTTTTTTTTAAATATACAGCCTTTAAATCTGTCTTAAAAAACAGACATATTTTTACCCAAGAACTGATGATAAATCTTGCAGGACTTGTAGTGTTTTGGATTTATTTGACGGGTGTGATTAAGAACAATAATTCTTCTTGTGTGGTTCCATTAATTAGTCACTTCATATTTGATATAAAAATGTAACCAATTAACTTCTTTTATTTGAAATATTGACACAGCTCATCTTGAGGGCTCTATGCAGACAAAAGGTAACATGTAAAATACACAAATGATCAACAATGCTTCCAAATTAATAAGCTGATGGACCTCTAAGGATGTCAAAATAACCTTTGCATAGGTTTTCATTAAAAAAAACTAATTGTATCCCTACATAATAGACACAAAATAATTCATAGTAAATTGCAGAACTGAATTTGGATTTGTTTAATATATTAAAAAATTCACTTTGTGTTAGCAACAGATTCAGGTCAGCTCAACAAGGAAGCTGCATCAGTTGGGGATGTGGATCCAAAACAATTAAATTTTTTGTATTTTTCTTTTTTTTTTTAAAGGTAATCTGATTATCCTTTTTCTCTGTTTTTTTTAAACAAAAATGTTGTCAAATCCCACTTGCTTACCAACCGTATAGGGATAAACAGAATTTAAGAACATCCTGTTTCTTTCTAAAGTGCTTTATACCTTCATATCATCTTGTGTAAAACATGCACACAAACATATATCATGGAATTCTGCTAAACATTGCCCATTAATATTCTATGACCATGTTTGACGATGACCAACCTTAGGTAAGGCCAGGTTGTACATAAATAACAGGGGAATATACCAAATAAGATTTGCTTGATAGTGTCTTAAGCCTTTGTATCGAATGAAATACAAAAAAAACTCATATCAAATTAAGATGACATAATCAAATTGAATATTTTTTATCAAATAGACACAAATTTGGCTAGAACTCTATAGAAACGCTATTTTGACCGACGTCAGTTTTGTCCAAATCATTTTCAGGCTGGTGACGTGGACTCACGGCGTCCTTAAATAATCCGCTGAGATAATCTTACAGCCTATATTTTCCATGTGGGAAGATTGTTGTTTTGGTTGCCGCTAGTCACGAGACTGAAATCTGTCCGTTGATTGGCTTCTGAGCCGCGCATTGCGCGAACGAGGAAGTCTATGCTCCTGGGAATACACTGTGCGATATTTTCAATCGTTGCACTTGGGTCCAGCTCAAACTGCACGACAGAATCGCGGGGTGTAAAAGTTCGCAGCTCACGATTTATGTTCTCACACTATGCGACCCGATGTTCGCGCGATAGCCTCGCGAGGGCCGACCATAATTTCAAACAGGTGTTGTGCGAAAAAGTGAATGTCTGCGAGAATCTGATTGCGCTCGCGGGAGCGCGCACCGCAGCCCGCTGAACGGTCATGACATGCAGATACACACAGTTGCATGATAATATAGGCCTAATTAAATTATAATATAGGCCTAATTAAAGATTCGAAAGCTTAACATTTGTCGCATAACGGAAGTTACGTGATAGACATGTTTCTATACTCGGTCTGATTACTTTGTGTAGCCCTGACATTGGAGACTACACTACAATAAATATGATTTAGTGGAGGGTTTTCAATAAAGATATGATAACTTTTGCAACGATCCTCGTCACTCTGCATTGTTTTTTATCTGATCTGGCCGTATATAGCACGAGTTTCCCATGTTTCTATGTGTTTTGCAGTTTTCAATCGGTTTTCACCTGTCAAAAATTGATTGAAGGCACAGTATAGTCACTCAAAGGTTATTTCTACCTAAATATGACTAGATTTCCTTCAGGAGATGCATGATTTACAGATCTGAGCTCACAAAACAGCTTGGAACTCTTTTAAAGGACCATTACAACACAAAATAGCCATTTTGACTTGCAAAAAATGTATTAAAGCCCAAATACTGTCATTCAAAGGGGATATTTGCCCAAATATGACTTGATTTCATTCAGAAGCATCTTATTTTAAATAGAACAAGTCCTTTTTAGGCAAAAATCACCTTTCTTCAACCACATTTGGCCTTTAATCAATTTCTAGCAAGTCGGCTGAGGTCAAAACGCTCCGCTAGAAATTGATTAAAGGCCAAATACTCTCATTCAAAGGGGATATCTGCCCAAATATGACTTGATTTCATTCAGAAACATCTTATTTTAAATAAAACAAGTCCTTTCTAGGCAAAAATCACCTTTCTTCAACCACATTTGGCCTTTAATCAATTTATTTATATTATTTATTTAAAATAAGATGTTTCTGAATGAAATCAAGTCCTATTTGGGCAGATATCCCCTTTGAATGAGAGTATTTGGCCTTTAATCAATTTCTAGCGGAGCGTTTTGACCTCAGCCGACTTGCTAGAAATTGATTAAAGGCCAAATGTGGTTGAAGAAAGGTGATTTTTGCCTAAAAAGGACTTGTTCTATTTAAAATAAGATGCTTCTGAATGAAATCAAGTCATATTTGGGCAAATATCCCCTTTGAATGACAGTATTTGGGCTTTAATACATTTTTTGCAAGTCAAAATGGCTATTTTGTGTTGTAATGGTCCTTTAAAAGAGTTCCAAGCTGTTTTGTGAGCTCAAATCTTTAAATCATGCATCTCCTGAAGGAAATCTAGTCATATTTAGGTAGAAATAACCTTTGAGTGACTATACTGTGCCTTCAATCAATTTTTGACAGGTGAAAACCGATTGAAAACTGCAAAACACATAGAAACATGGGAAACTCGTGCTATATACGGCCAGATCATATAAAAAACAATGCAGAGTGACGAGGATCGTTGCAAAAGTTATCATATCTTTATTGAAAACCCTCCACTAAATCATATTTATTGTAGTGTAGTCTCCAATGTCAGGGCTACACAAAGTCATCAGACCGAGTATAGAAACATGTCTATCACGTAACTTCCGTTATGTGACAAATGTTAAGCTTTCGAATCTTTAATTAGGCCTATATTATAATTTAATTAGGCCTATATTATAATGCAACTGTGTGTATCTGCATGTCATGACCGTTTAATCCAGAGAAAAGCAGGTTTACGCTATCGCTCAGCGGGCTGCGGTGCGCGCTCCCGCGAGCGCAATCAGATTCTCGCAGACATTCACTTTTTCGCACAACACCGGTTTGATTTTCATCCGGTTGTTGATCGGGAGGTGGTCGTGAGGGGGTAATCGCTTCTCCTTACCATGTGTAAACTACACGATGTGAGACACAAGTTGAAACTCGGCCCGATCCAATAAATTATCGCACGAGTGAAAATCGTTTTAAAAAAAGGGGAAAAACACAATGTATGCCCAGCTGTATGCACCGTCGGTTTGTTGTCGTTTCAAGTATAAATACTCGATAACGTAAAACTGCACATCATGAAAGCAAGTTTTAGTATATTATCGTCCTTTTAGACACGCAGAGATTTGTTGGTGGGGAAAATTCTATAATACTTTGAGGAATATAACAGAATGTTTTTTTGCGAATCGTTTCTTACCGTGACTGAATGTTTTCCTGATGTCAACAGTGCCGGACCTAAAGGAGACAACATCTATGAGTGGAGGTCGACCATCCTGGGCCCTCCAGGCTCTGTGTACGAGGGCGGAGTATTTTTCCTGGACATTGCCTTCACACCAGACTACCCTTTCAAACCACCCAAGGTAATGCAAAGCCTGCTCTGTGAAATATTTGGACAGAAATCCAGCGTTTCTGCATTTGTAACGGTTTTCATGTAAACCACTAGATGGCATCACCACCCTGTGCAAAGTAGCATATTAAAATATGCCAAAGCTTCCTGCCGTTACAGATATGATAAATATGTTGAATAATCTTTTCTGTTTGGATATTTTTTGGTTCATTTTAGCATCTTTGTCTTGTGTATGCAGGTGACATTCCGAACAAGAATCTACCACTGCAACATCAACAGTCAGGGGGTGATCTGTCTGGACATCCTGAAGGATAACTGGAGTCCTGCCCTCACCATCTCCAAGGTGCTGCTGTCCATCTGCTCCCTGCTCACTGACTGCAACCCTGGTAAGAGCTGCAAATTCCACTTAGATTGACACCAACATGCTTGCTACTGAATTGTCTAATCACTCTTTAGTGATTTTTCTCAAATCAGATCTTTAACTGTCGTTCGGAGTTTCCCATTGACACTATATTCCGACTTGGAGAGCATTTACAGGTTTACTAGTGTTAACTCTATGCATTTTTAACTCGTATATCATCTGAATGTACAGACTGATCACACAAATGGAAACATCAGTTGTTGTTTTTTAGTTTGGCAACAATTAATTATAATTTGCAGCTCTTTTTCTTTCTCTTTTTCGCTCACATGCAAATGCATCTCTGGCACTGAGCACTATTGTGAGAGAGACATTAGCATGGCAGGTCTGTAGCACAGTGCCTGCATTACACTCATGGATTAAAAAAAATTTTTTATGCATGTTAAAAGTAATTCAAAGAACATAAACTGACCCTTTTATGTCGAGTTAGACAACAGCAAACTGAAAGTGAGTAAATCTGTCTCACCTGACACTGCAATTCTGATGCTAAAGCAATGTCATACAGTACTGAATCATACATCATAGTTGAGGCAGGGTGCATTCATCTGTCATCTTTCATTGTTCTTTTGGCAGCTGACCCCCTGGTTGGAAGCATCGCCACACAATACACAACAAACAGACCTGAACACGACAGGATAGCCAAACAGTGGACCAAACGCTACGCCACATAATCAGCCAAGCAGCCACCTGTTGGATAACCTGGGGGATGTGGAGGGGGGCAAGACCTGTAGCAGAGGAGGGAAGTGGGGGGTATTTTTATCATAGAGATTAAGATCTTGACTCCTGTTTTTTTTTTTGTACGTTGTATTTTTTTTTTCTTAAGTTATCTCCGGCCCAATGACTATAATCAGATTTGGCAATAAACTGATTTTTTCACTTGAAAGTTTAGCCTGTGCTTGAAAATGGACATAATACTAAGCCGCTAGATGAAATGTCTTAGCATGATTCCCGGTCCACAATGTCAGTGTAAACGCTCACATGTATTAAAAGTTCCAGTTTGTGTTTGTTTCTTCTCCTGCTCCTTGAAAGGTGTGTTTGACACATGTAGACATGTTTGGATATGGATGGAATATTGATTGTGATTTGTTTTCAGTAATGATGAAAAACTCCCCTGGAAAAATTAAACATGTCCAAGTTAAGTTTCCACACATTGTTTTGGTAATTTCAGAGGCTTTTGAAGGAAAGATCTACATTTGTTTGGTTACAGAAAAATGCATCATTATCTCACTACCTCTGTTCTCCTCACAGCACATTTAGTGTTAATACCCTAGTAGAAAACACCACAGATCATCTTAAGTTAAGCAATGGGGCTCATTAAAAGCGACAAAACATAAATTAGTTAAAAAATAAATATTTCCTCTAAACACTGATTATTTCTACTGTGATAGGCTGGCATAAACACAGCTTTAAATAGCAGCACTATTGGATTAAACAGGTTCAGCAACACTTAGAAGTACAGCTAACTTCAGAGATACATAATGAAATTATACATTAAGAGTAAAAGGAGTATCATGAATGTTATTATTGCCAGGCTACAGTTGATACAAGATGGAATGGATGATGATGACATGAGATGAATGCTACTTTATCAGATTTGGGGGGGGGCACACACACTGGGACAAGCCTACTGGTTAGATGGAAACAAATCTTCAAATGTCTTTAAACACACACACACTTGGATTAAATAAACGGTTTAGCGCTAATATAAATAAAATATAAAGTGTTTCAATCTGACAGTACTGTCAAGAAAAAATGGAGAGAATTCTTTATTTCTCTAACTTTTCGATTTCTGGTGCACCATGATAACTGCAGATGCTTTTTTTTTTTTATGTTGTAAAATGAACGATCTTTCATCGATGAACAGTGATAACTGGTTTGCGATGGAAACTGTTATCCCCTGCACTGAGCTGTTATTTGCAGTGTCCCCCATTTATACCATGGGCCACCACATACAGGCCATGGGCACCACGTCTTGAATTTTGTCAACCCTAATGTGACAAAAAGACTCCAGGACGTCATCTGAAACCACAGGTATTGTCAAATGGCAAAGATAAAGACATCTTAAAGTCTTCCCCTTTGCACTTTAGTGAGAACTCTTTTTAAAAAAATTCATGATATAAGGGTAAAGACAATCCTACCACAAGAATCAAACTTTCAAAATATTCCGAAGAAGAAAAAAGATATCACTTGCAGTAGCAGGCAATATCTGTTACCTGTCATCTTATTTACTCTAAACAACTACATGAAAATAACATCTCTAGGAGCCTAGGGTCGAGACTGCTCTTCTCTATTCATAGAGGATTATGGTATTTCCTAAACTATAGAAGACAAAGGAGGCATAAAGAATCTTTACCCCTCACTTTTATAGAATTTGTTAAACTCTCTGCATGGCTAAAACCAATCATCTTCGGTAATTTACACCTCTGCTTGTGTATGCAAACATGATGTGACTGGTTTATCAGCCAGCCAGGAGTGGGTTGGGTGGGGGTGTTTTAGATGTCACTAGATGCGGTTCCTTTGCTTTTGCGTCCCGGCAGAGGAAAGGAAGACTTGCTCTGAGGCTGTGTGAGGCGGCTGGTGAGCTGGGTGAAGGGCTCGATGAGCGAGTTGCGCTCGGTGACGCTGACCTCCCACAGCTTCACCTTCTCGCCTCGCGCCCACTGCTGTGCCGTTTCCTGGTCCACCTGACGGCGTTCCTGCAGGTCAGTTTTATTCCCCAACACTATGACGGTCACCTGATGAGACAACAGTTGCACATGAACCAAACCCCTTTCAACCTCTAAAGATTTTGTCTATAGATTTATACAAAGCCATATGTAGGGAAAAAACAAACACATAAACCTTACCATGGAGTTTGACTGTGAACAGAAAAATCTGTATGTATTTGGTTCAAACCAGATTAGATTTCAAAATTCCAAGCTTTTTCAAAAACCACAATTCATATACAATAACTAACACTTTAAGCCCCTGTACTAATCTGATGAAAGAGTAATAACTTTTGTGGTATCTGCATGTTTCCCATCATCAATGATGACTAGAGTTGTTGGCATAGGAATATTGAGTTTCTAAAACATTCATGTCCACAAAATTCTGTCTGACCCACAACCACACTGAAGGAATCCTGAAGACATGTTATTTCCACTGTTCAGGAAGCTTGTTTGCTGCTAATTTGTAACAAAAAACAAATAAGAAGGGAATTTAGAGGATTTTTCATGTTCTTGTAAGAAATAGGAAGAAATTGCTTGCCTTTGTGGAAGATTGTTAGTTACAAATGTGCATTAAGATTTATTTACACATGCCTGTTGTGGAAATAACTTTAATAGATCTGTTTTAATGTAATAGTCGTGGTTCTTCTGTGCTTCAAGTGAATGCAGATTAGCTCAGACATACAACCAGTGCTACAGGTTTCACTGAGCAGAGGTTAGTACTGTTACTGCTTGAAGCTGCAGCAATTGGGTGAATTGAACATTATTCGAGATGTATTAAGGATACCAGGACTGTATTATGCTTGAGTGAAATGAAAACCTGATAAATCTGAACCCGAGAAATAGTCCTTGAAGTTGTTTCAAGTGCTTTACGTAATGTGCCTGGCACACTATACCAGGCTACAGTCATGGTTCAAAGTATTGTCTCCAGTGGTCTTGAAAAACTTTCTTAAAGTTATTTCCACAAAAAGGGCAGTCAAAATAAATCTTCATGCACTTTTGTGACTCAAAGTGATCTTAAAAAACAAGGAGAAGATTCTGCAGAGGTGATGGCTAAGAGATGCATCTTGGCCCTCATTTCATTTATCTACTGTTCACTAAAACCTCATCATAAATTATCTTTATCAAGGCTGTCAAGAAGCCAACATTAGGAATAGAAAGGAGGAAAAAAAGAAACTGAGACAGGCCGAATGATTGAAAAAGTGGACCGAAAATCAGTGACAACAGGTCTGACAGTCAACTTGAAATATGATTTGAACAAAAGGCAGCTAACATCCAAAGAATGTGGATTTCCTTAACAAAGCTTGAAGAACCATCCCATAAGACTACTTAAATGTAAATAAACATTTTTTAAGGCTGTGTTGGAAAATAAAAGTCCTCATACCACAAACTGACTTGTCAAATTTGTCCAAATTCTGTTTTATCTTTGAAATTGTACTTCCATTTGTTTCGTTTTACATTTTCATGCAATGCAAAAGATTAATAAATGATGGGTGTGCACAACCCTGTGCAAAGGTTGCTGTCACGTACATATACTGGCTTCACCTCTTTTTTATCTCTAGACTTGTCTATTTCCTTCTTCAGAATGTCCACCTTCTTGAATGACTCCAGGCTGTCGACACTGTAAACAAGCACAAAGCCATCTGCCACTGAATAGTAGTGCTTTGGGAGGTCATGTCCATCATGAAGTCCTTTGGTGTCATACAGCCTCAACTGCTCCTTCACACCTCGGTCAGTTTCTACTGAGGCCACATACACATCCTCCTGTGTCTCGTTGGACTCTGAGCCTAGAATAATCAGACAAAACAGGACAGGAGAGGACAAAGATTTTCAGCTAACCAGGGGCATTTATTTGGATCAGAACATCACAGTTATCATATTTCAGAGGAATACAATCTCTGTGGAATTAGATATATTGAAAGCCTGTTATTCAGTTCAATTAGTAATTCATGTCAGAATCATATAAAGCTTTCACACTTCAAACAGGGGAGCTAAAAAAAACACTGTACATGCAGCACTTGCCTACACTGTGATTTCCGTACAACAGATGTTCCAGAATAGCAGTTTTACCAACTGCTGCCTGGCCACACACCACAACTTTACAACCTTTTCCCATTTCGAGCCTGCAACACAAACAAAAAAAACGGTTCCCAAATCAACATTTGACACAGCACCAAAACAATCAATGGTTTAACCGACGCTGGATCGCAATGACAGCGTTTTGTTGTATAGTTGGCTGGCTAGTAGGTAAACCCGAACCATCGTGGTGCTGTCAGATTAATCATAATATAAACAAACATTATGGCAGTTACACTTTTCTTTTCAACCTAATACGTTTACGAAAATTACCTGCTTGAATGAGGTTGACGACTAGATGTTTGTTACGTCTGAAAGCGTAGATCCCACAACCGGCGCATCCATCCTGCTTTGCTACTTTAGAGTTGCCAATCTGGCTTGAAGAAGATTCTGGAGTCACTGCGCATGCGCAAATAATTGCATTAGAAACGACAGTAATACACGTGACAGATTTATTTCTGCAAGCTTGTGGTCTTATTTTTTCACTAAATAATTAGGTTGTTATTGAATTGCAACATGAAGTTCGTGCATATTCAAAAGGACATTTCGTGTTGTTACAGTTCATATTATAAAAAAACAGACTGCATATGCAAAAAGACCAACAACTGAGACGATGTACTCATTGTAGTTGTGCGTTTCCATTGCTAGTTTCAGAGACAGTTTGAATCACGCGTTGCACATAACCTAACTGACTTAATTATTTTTTAACAGTATAAGTGCATTAGTCTACCATATTGCGTTTAATTTAAGAAAGTATCAAATTAACCGAAACTAGCCTATGGACGGAAGAGGACTACATTTCCCATAATGATGCAACGTAAATGCGCCACTGTAGTTTTCATAAGGCATGCTGGGTAAATGCTCTCTCTCTTTCCGGCTGGTACGCCATCATGTAAGCGAGATTTTCCATACTTCTAAAAGGAACTACAATCCACAAAAATCATCTCTTATACAGTTTCATCTATTGATTAACTTTAGTGTGTACTTTGTATTATTGTAGACAATTCAGACACATATATTATTTCTGGATAAAACAGTCTAACTGTTTGTTATGATCATGGTTTACCGGTTCCGAGACAGTGCTGACCGGTTAGCCATTTGCAGTTGTGTGGAAGAGTGCATATATGCTGTAGCCGTGTTATAAGGACATTTTGGGCATTTTACGCGTTTGTCGAAGTCACATCCTTCCATTTAGATTTTCATAAGAGGTCAGTTTGTTGTTTAGGGACGTAAAATCCATGATGTGGTCAAGCGACGCGGCTAGCGGCTGCATGCTAACTTCGCTCTTGCTAAGCATGGAGTAATGTTGTCATTTTACATTTAATTTCTTTCCTTAAATATGGGGTATCCTAAGATAACTCATATGTCCAATTGAAGCGGTCCACATGGATTAATTTGTAAATGCTTGTCAATATTTAAGTGGAGTACGAGTGTGCTTGACTTTTTGGTCTGAAACCATAAGTAGTTACAGACTTAAAATAGTTTGCAAATAAACCATATTTTAAACGAAGGTATCATTTGTTGGTAAAACAGTGTGACCGAATTAACTTTCAGAATTGGTGTAAATTATACATAGGTAGCCACAGTTATTAATTGAATTGTTAGAGAAGTATTAATGGCAACTATCAATTTATCTTTTCCAGATAAGTCAACATGGGGGCATACAGATACATGCAGGAGTTATGGCGTAAGAAGCAGTCTGATGTGATGCGCTTCCTGCTCCGTGTCCGCTGCTGGCAATACCGCCAGCTTTCCAACCTCCATCGTGCTCCTAGACCCACCAGGCCCGACAAGGCTCGCAGGTTGGGCTACAAGGCCAAGCAAGGTAAGTTCAGTGCTCAAAGCGAGCGTGTCTTTCTGAATATTTGTTTGTTAATCCCCTTTCATTCTTTTTTTATTCAGGCTACGTGATTTACCGTATCCGTGTGCGCCGTGGAGGCCGTAAGCGCCCCGTTCCCAAGGGTGCTACCTATGGCAAGCCCGTCCACCATGGTGTCAACCAGATCAAGTTTGCCCGGAGTTTGCAGTCCACTGCTGAGGTACACTTGTCTGAATCTTAGGCTGTGGCTTGTAAAGAGTTGGTTGATATTTTATGTGAGCTTTGTTCTTCATATTCCATGCTCATTGTATTTAGAGTTGAGAACATTTATTTAATATTATATATTAAACTAGCTGAAAAACTGGTGGTTACTGATTTGTGTGGATCCCTAACCATAGTGACACCACTTTCGAATTGGCTAAATTTACAGTCTAAAACAAATTCAAGTCCACCGTTTTAATTTCCCTCTTAAGTTTTCTTGTAATAATTTATCCTTTGTTTTGTTGGCTTAAAGTGTAAGCTGTAAAGATGGACCACAAAACGGCATGAGAGAAGAAAAATCAAGATATCTTGTCATCTATTCTGCCTTGGCACAAAACCTTCAGATTTTGTTTAATTTAAATTAGTATTTTTATCACTATATTTTTTCAGTTTCTTGGGTAGCAGGTTGAATTATTGACTATTAAGAAAGACACTGATATCATCCAAGGTGAAAATATTTTAGCTGTTGGTGCTCTTGATAGACCTAGGTTTGTTAATACATCAGGATTTATCAGGAATCTGAAGGATCAGAGACATGTTAGATTAGTCATATGTGTACATGTCAAATGATTTCTTTTACCTCTTTTCAAATGTAGGCCATTGAGTTCAAACATTTTCAGAGTTACCGTTTAACAGGATGTTTTAATGTTATGGGGGAAAAATTTATTTTAGAACTAAATATCCATTGCGATTTGTGCATGGATGTAACTTTTACTGCTTTTTGCAATACTGTTGCCTAATAGCTGCCACCATCTGGGTTTTAAGTCTAAAACAAAATGTAAATTGGTATTCTCAACAGAAATAATTTTACAGTTATTGTAAATCGTCTGCAATTAGCATTAACTGGGCCACAGCACTCGGGTATATATGCCCATTTTCAGTGAGTTTGCTGTGGGCAGTATTTACTTACTGATATGCCCTACAGGTGCTTTAAAACCTAACTGCTGTCAGATTACTGTTACTTTCTTAAACAGAGCTGCACTACAAGGATGTCGGCCTTTAATGTAAAGCTGTTGTCAGTGGTCCACTAAATGGGTTTTAGGCTCAGTTCTCAATGCTTCCAAAGTAGGGGCTTATCTTTTTTTTTTTTGGTTTGTCCCTATAGGAGCGTGCTGGTCGTCACTGTGGAGGCCTCAGAGTCCTCAATTCTTACTGGGTGGGTGAAGACTCGACCTACAAGTTCTTTGAGGTGATACTGGTCGACCCCTTCCACAAGGCCGTCAGACGCAACCCAGACACACAATGGATCACAAGGGCTGTTCACAAGCACAGGGAGATGCGTGGTCTGACATCTGCAGGAAAGAAGAGTCGCGGCCTGGGCAAGGGCCACAAGTTCCATCTGACCATTGGAGGCTCCCGTCGTGCTGCCTGGAAGAGGCGCAACACCCTGCAGCTGCACCGCTATCGCTAGACCATGTCTGTACATCTAAAGAAATAAACAGCCCTTTTTATGGTGCCCAACTTTCGTGCTTATTCTTAAAACGTGAAATGCTACTATTTCATACTGACAGACTTGAAGTAAGGTTCCATTACAACAAACCCTGCTCTGCCCATGTGGATTTTGTTCAGAGGGAGTCTTAAAAAACCCTTTTTCAATTATTTTAAAGTTAAACTAGTTGTCAGGAAATAAATCTCAAAACCTGTTGGGTTTAATGAAGTGTTGGCTCAGTTTGAGGTTGGCATCGAAAAAGAAAAACTAAACTGCAGCAAGAACTTTTTTTTTTGTTCTGAACATAAACCATCAGTAACCTAAACATAGGCTGCAAAACTAAAATTAAATAATTTTTCAAGATGAGAGCACATTTTTAACCAAAAATGTATTCTGATCACATAGGATTGTCACTTCAAATTCTGGTATTGTTGGAAAAAGTCTTTCCAAAAGTGAAATTCATCACTGAGGTAAATTTGAATTAAAAAAAAAAAAAAAGGTAATATGTTTGAAAAACTCTTAAATTATTTCAAAGTAACTCTTCTAACCTCAAGACTGGTTGAATAATGAGCATGTCTTGAATATTAAAACTAATGGAAAGTAGGAGTGATTTTTATCAACAGCTCAAAGTGGAAAATAGGTTTATTAAACATAAATCCTAAATGATTTGCAATCCTGAACAAATTTATAAGATTGCTTTATGCAGAGCTGATTATTAAGAGTAATATGATAGAATTGACAACACTGAGTTTTTTTGGCTCCATTAGAATGGACTGGTATGTTTGAAAACATGATTAAATCAAATCAAACATGATTGAAAAAAGTTTTTCTGTTCAAAGATGTACCCTCAAGGCCTAATCACGCTAGTTCTATACTTTTGTCATACATAAACTTCTGATTTTCTATCATTACAAAAAGAGAGGAGACAGAATCATACATGACTTGCTCGGTTTGTATTTGAATGTTTAAGGATATATTATTGTGATAAATGTAATTGTTAGAACATTTTTAAATACGTTTTATACATTTGATTAACTACTATGAAATGTATAGGGATTTTTAAAAATACATTTAATCTATTTCATTTTGTCATCCCTAACCCTTCATAACAGAGAATGTTGCTCAAATTAACCCTTTACTTTGAAAACCAGCACGTGCGCCGATCGCCGAAATGACGTTGAAAGCCATACAGAAACAGCAGTCTGCAATACAAAACGTGTCAAAGGACACACATAGCGCCCCGCCGTTTTGACCAGGAGACATCAGAGGAGTTTACTGGGTGTGAGAAAGGGACAGAGGGGGGCCACAACTCCAAAATCAAAATGCCTTTTGCAATCTAAATGGTCTTTTTTTCACTCCCGGTTTGGAGGACAATATTACCAGGAAACCATGGATCATTCATAAACCTCTTTTCTTTATCCAGCTCAGCTGGGGGTCTCCCCCTGTCCAAACCAAACAACATGGCCGACTTGGAGGACTGTTATCCATAATCCTTTGTCCCATAGAGAACGAATGGTTTTCCTGCCTCCACAATGTACTGTTCTGTCACCTTTTTTCGGACCTGCCGCGTCACCCCCTATTGTTCATCAGGGTCGTGTCTTACATTGTTGAGTAGGTCTACTTCTCAGCTTTCAGCTAATGTGACCCCCGTCCTACTCACCCCAACGGCATTCAGTCAGCGGGCCCCAGAGTGAAGTTAGCATGGCCGTATTCTGTTTTTATCCGTCAGGAGGAGCCCTTATAGGGCACAAGCCTTGACTTTGGAGAGCGCAAATGTCATTAATGTAATCTCACCAGAGGCTGCCAGGCCGGTTTTGAGGGCCCCACAAACCCAGCTCAGGTTCCTGGACGGGGTAGTAAGTGGCCCGCCTTTAAATTTCTTTAGAAATTTTCTAGTTTCTAAAGTTGTTGAAAAAAATATTAAAGTTCAGTTTTGTCACATTTTATTAAAAACAGCACTTGTAAAAGTTACTAGTGATCTTATCTCCCTTTGCATCTGTGTGTGTCCTTTTGGAACTCAGCACTGCTTTAGATGAGTTCAATAACAGCAGTCTATTAGAGACTTGAAATGTTGTAAGTACTAAGGAGTCTATCAGCCTGGTTTTGGTTGTATTTCTTTGTTAGATCCGTATTCATTCAAGTAAATGAAGAATTTTCTGCCCAAAACAGAGATAGTCACAGAGTTCCTTATAGTTCTGTGTTTGGAACAATTATTTCATTAAATAACATTATTTGCTCAACTGGAATACCATCCTGATCCCATTTCACAGAAATAAGGGGAAATTAGTTAACTACATATTCAGTAAATCGCAGAAAATGTCATCAAAGATAAATTAAAAAATACAAACAAAAATTACCATAGAACTTACTTTATTGTCATTTTTACACAAAATGGTAGATGTTTGAATGGTTGACATTACATCCATCCATGTTTTATATCTGAAAACGGACAAGAGGCAGGGTACACCCTGGACAGGTCGCCTGTCCATCGCAGCCTTAACATCGGTACTTTCTGTAATTGAGACGTTTTTTTTTTATTCTGCCTCATTAAGATGTATTCAATCAGTGTGTATGTAATCCATAGATAAACGAGGCTGGTCTGATCTGTTGCTATCTACATCTTCACATATGCAGCAGCAAAGTGTTTTGTGCAATGACTAAATTACAGCCATCAGATGTTGTGTAATACAGTCTTCAGTTATTCCAGAAAGATCAGTTTTTTCCCCCCTGTGGGAGTCTGTGAACCTTGGGTCCATGGCTATGACGTCAGCTCACTGGTTGAGAATCTTTTAACCGATTTTAGTATGTGGTAACCTGTTGTGATGCTCTTTGTGATCTTGCCAACAACAATAGGTCCAGTCAAAGATACATTTAAGAAAAAAGATAAATAAAGACATTTAAAGAAAAACACTGGAGCCAGAATGTTAGTATGAATGTGACATTGAACAGTTCCATTTTTTAATACAAAGTAAGATCTAAATGTGGATGCTTAAAAAAAACAGGACCCCGAGGATGTATGTAACAGGTCGGTATGAAGGGAGTTGTGTCAAGAGATATCTATGCCGGAACTGGGGAAGAGGACCAAGACTTTACAAAAGCAAGGAACACGAGAAGTCTAGTGAAACAGAACCAGAGTCAGACACATGGTGGGTGTGAAAATGATGAGGATCTGGCATAGGATAAGAAGAGCGAGAAGCTTTTAGAGAAGTTTTTATTTGGGGGGAGTGTGATTAGTGGATGAAAAGCAGGTGAGAAAGGAAATGCAAGTGCAGGGAGTTCAGTGATAACCAGAAAAGGAGGGCACAGAGGGGTGTGAAGTAAACTGAGAGACTCAAGGGAAAGACACAGGAAACAAGAAAGATACAAACAAGATACAATAAAACGTGAAACTAAAGCATGGGAAAACAGAACTGACAAAAACCTCAATATTAAACAAAACCCAGCTCTTGAGGAAACAGGCTTTTAACAGGTGCTTAATTGATAATCGCTGCAAGTCTGATAGTGTGAGTATTCCTCAGAGTTCAAAGAATAAATCTTTACATATGAAATATGTCTGTGGTGTTTTTATAGTCTCTTCACTTGGTTTTAAAAATGGATCTTTTTGTGTTTGTTTTTTTAATTGTTTTCATTTTTTGATGGGGCTGTTTTCTCTGACTTTATGTTGTCCTCTGATGAATAAACCTTGGGTAATGATGACAACATATTCCACATTGTTCTGGAACAATGTTTCCTTGACCAACAGATTGAAGAGAAGATTTTAAAGTGTAATAAAGACCTCACCACATCTCTCTAACTCTCTAACTTTATCAGCATGCTGCAGGGCAATAGAAGCCCCCATCTACCCTTATCCACTCTAAACTTTCACAAAAGAGAAACTATTGAGTGGGATAGTGAATTTGGGATAGATGTCTCCTTAAAAGCTACATTGTAATAACTCAGGACATGTTGGCTGCAGCTGGAGTATGTTTGGAAATATGGACTGCTGCTTCACTGTGGGTCTGTCCTGTTTGGAGGAGAAGGATGAAATTCCATGTCATAATAACCCAGTAAGAATGAAAAGTATGTGCAGGGGCGCATCTTCAAACTGCATCGAAAAGCAATCAATGTAACCTATTTAAGAAACAACTCCTGAAATGAGAAGGGCCTGTGGAGATGTATATCATTCAAGTGCAACGAGCAGTGCATTTGAGCGGGTGGTCAAATGATAATCTAGACATCTTGAGCTTATCATGAGGACAAAGAAACGCCTTTCCAGAATGGACTACAAAGTCTGCTACACTGATGAGAATGTTTAAATACGGCATTTTATTGCTGGGAAAAAAAAGGTTGACGCATAGCAATTACAAGTTTGTCTTAATCCATCTGGCTTTCAGACAAACTCACGATAGAGATTAAGTTACTAGAAAAGGAACAAGTTAGAAACTTATAAAGAAAGCTAACGGTATATTCACAAAGAACGGATACAGTTGCTGCCTTAAACCTCCAAGGTCTTGGGAGACAGGGCTGATAGGCTCAGTTCCGGAGAAGCAGTGCTCGGACCAAGCCCAGATGTGCGGAAGTGGTCTGAGGTGGTAAGAATGAATGTGCACAAAGGCTAAAAGTTGGTTAAAATAAGAATTCAAAATATAGTTTAAAAAACAAATAAAAATTCTAATCAAAAGTGAGGGAAAAGATTTGGTAACCCCCTGGGGAGGTTCTGGAGACTGACTTAGGCTAGGAGGAGTACTGGAGGAAAGGTGCTGGTGTGCGCTCTGGATAATAACGGATTGGAAGTACAGACTGATGCACGCTCAAAATAAAATGAGACTCTTCAACAGCCTCCCCTTTTTCCATGTCTAACCTTTTATCTTTCTCTGACCTCCTCTCCACATACATCTACCCCTAAGTGCGGTCTTTGTGCCCGATGTGGACCTTGGCTCCTGCCCTCCCTGACAACAACAAGCTCAAAAGCCAACAGCATGGGACGAATTCCAAGAAAAAGCTGAAGCTAAAAGAGGGAAAAAACAGCCTCAGGATCAACACCTCAGCTCGCCTTCAGAACCAGTACAGCTACCACTCCAGGAATAAAAGAACTATGATGTGTGCAGTCGCATGATAACGTTTGTGACACTGAGGACTTCATTGTGAGTAAGGAAACTAATTTACCCATGATTTAAGTGTCTGGTACAAATGGGCTCATCTTAGTGATCATGGACTTAGGCAGACATGGTTGAGGCCTCCTCTCAAACCTCACTGAATAGATTTAAAGTTCACTGATGAAAAGTGCATTTTCTTTCAAATGAAAAATGTCTCAGAAGCCTGGGAACCCCTTTGTTGCCCACCTGGAGGTGGCCAATGGCGAGTAGGACATTTTAACTTTACTTACAGTGCACTCCTGGACTATTTTTCAGGATTCTCTGCAGTATGTTTGTCTTCAGTTAGAAAACAAACACATGTCAGATAAGGTACTGGTGTGCACCGTGGGTAAAAATAGTGTTTTATTTGCACATCTGGGCTCCTGTTTGATATATTCGGATGTTTTCATTCATGAAAAAGTGTGAATAAAGAAAATGTTAAAAAACAAAGCTATTATTTCAGCACGACCAAAAATATGAAAGGAAAAAACAGTGTTTGAAACAAATAGGTTGTTTGAATTCCAGAAACTGTTTCTGGCCAGTATTTGAAATGTTTCATTTAATTTTTCATTTAATTTTCATTTAATTTATTTTGAAACATGATATGATTTAACGATGTTTACATTGAATGCTTCATAAACATGCATCATGTTTCAAAAAGGAGTAGGATGAAGCATAAGCTTATTAAGTCCTACCCCTCAGTTACATGTGCCATGGTGGTAAAGGACAATTATTTACAATAATTTATTGTATGTATATTTGTATGTATATTTACAATAGTATACCAACTTTTTATATATTTCTTTCCCCCCCCCCCCCCCATTACTCTTAGCAGAGAGTGTGCCACAATATTTAGATTTATTTGCAGGGTGTGCCAATGTCTGTCTATATGTTCCATATTAAACGTTTACCCACGTTTAAAGGCAAAAAAACTATTCAAATAAATCTGCCAGATACGCAACGATCTAAGAACATGCGTTTCATGGAAACGTGTTCACCAGTGTCTTTTCTCACTGGTGGAAGTATGTCAGTGGGTTGCATTAACACTAATTCAGCGCAGTAGAGAGGGAGGGGCCTATGAACTGGGTCACATGGTTGTACAGTGCTCGCTTGAAACAATCCCTGTAAAACCAGTCCTTCCCAGGAGTTGCGCAGGGAAAGTGCACGTATTTCTGCTATCTAATCTGAATGGAAGATGCAGTATCTACCTTTGTAATTTAATCAGGGTTGAAAGTGGGATAGAACATACAGAAAGTAGCTAAACGTACGCATTAACGGACGAAATACGTTTTTTTTCAGCGTCGAAGAAACTGGTCTTTGAAAGCTGAATTGCTTCGGTTTAACGAATGACAGTTTTTTTTTTTATCACTGTAAACTTACTTGAGGTTAAACGGCATCGAACAACCGACCACGCCATCAAACCTTTTCAATTTGGTTTAGCTTCGTTGTTGAAGTGCTTTAGCTCCAGCGCTAATTTCTCCACCGGTAGATCAGCGACTTTTTAGTTGCTGAACACTAAAACAGAAACACGGCTTCGGCAGCAAGGTAGCACAGAGGGAAAACTAACAGGACATGGATTCTAGCAAAGCAGGTGAGTGTGCATTAAACTTCCTTTAACTGACAAGTTGCTGCTTGTTGCAATGTGCTTGTAGTCACATACGATCACAGGGTTTAGTAACGTTCTGCTTTCGTACAATTAAACAAATAATTAAACAAGGTCACGTATTCATCTTCAATTTAAACAGTGTCTCAACTTTCTGATAATCTCCTAAAGGCAATAGCATGTTATGGTGTATTTATAACGAACTGGGTTAGGAGTGCCAGGGGGTCGCTGTTATTATCCAAGTTGTTAGCTTTGGCAGCACTGCTGCAGTCCTGTTCTCACATGTACCAGACAGCCTAGCCATGTGCACCTATGTTTACGCTCCCGTTACGTCTCCATTCATTGGCCGAGCGGTGATATGACGTAGGCATTACATAATCTGCCCCTACAAGTTGGTGTGGCGACTCACAGCGGTTACACGTGAGACATCTCGCGGCAGTGTGCAGTGACCCAGTTTTCCCGGGGAGAAACTTGTTCCAAGTGAAGGCGGGTTGAAAAAAAAAAAATCTTCTGAGGTTAATGATGCGTTTCTAGCCAATAGTATATGGGGACTGTTTGTGTAATATGCTTATGCACATGTAGACACCTAGAGCTACATTTAATAACCTACTTTTGATACATTGAAATACTAAATTGAGATTTTAAGTAGTGGGATAGTTAGCATTAGTCATATTCAGTTAAATGGTTTTATAATATCTAAAACCCCCAAAGTGAACCCGATAAAACCTCTAAATTAGCTAATTCCAGTGCAATAACTTCAGAAAAAATCTCAATAGTGTAGAGATAAATTCCAGATATTTTCTTGTGTGAAGAAAATAATGTATTTTATAAAATGATAAAATGCATCACTTATTTTTTAAAGATTGTGGTCTAATGTTGAACAGATACACACTCAGTAATTCCAAAATCACCATTTTGGTCTATGTTACTCGGTTTATCAATACATGACTGACAAATGATGAATAACAGTAAGTGCCTTCTAATTTTTTTAAATATTAACTCTGACAGAATTGTCCTTATGCTTAAATCCTGCATAGCATTGATAAGATAAGATAGATTTTATTGATCTCAAAGTTGATATTGAAATATTGAATATCGTTGAAATATTCAACAATATTGAATATTGTTGAAGTGATCTCTTCATGTATGAGTGATCATTACTGTGAAATTGTAATGCCTAGGTCTTAAAATCTGCATTCTTTCTTTGTGACTCGATTATACCTGATGGCACACGTCCACTTTTGCATATAGAGATTTTTGTTGTGAGAAGCGCAATAGATTTAATTGGCCGTGTATTAATGTAGAGATGCGCCTTTTTAAGTAATTAAAACTAAACTAAATTTATCAAAATCAATCTGTTACTGAACTTGGTTTTGGATAAACCCTGTGTATATGATGCCCATAAATGTGAGTGACTGTAGGGGGTGGGCCAGATTACCTACCACACACACCCCAGTCAAGCTGACATTATGTAATGGCTGTTACTTAACCACTGTGACTGACAGAGAAAAAATCAGGTCAGCCTATGTTCATAGGGAAATGCTGCTACACAGCAGCTTGTGTGCCCGCCTCCTGCAGGCTGTGGAGCTTGTTTTCACTGAAGGTAGAATAACTTGAATAGGAAATCAAGTTGTGAAAACTATCAGAGTAGATAAAACTATGGGAGGAGTGCGATCAACAGAAACTCGTGAAAATAACCAAATGAAGAAGTGACAACACTATTTAAATGGCAAATAATTAATGAGGGAGTGAAACTAAAATTATATTTGTCCTTTGATCATATATTACCACAGCTTTTGTTATTCTGACTGGAGCAAAAACATTTTTTGGGGGTACTGATTTCAATCCAAGATTACACATTAAATCACTGACCATAATTTCAAACAGGGTTTGGAGATACAAGCTTGTTAGCAGAATAAGCATTTGCCCAGTCGTTATCTTCTAACCAGAGTTCTGCTCAGTGTTGACTTTTTTCCTGTATCTCTCCCGTGCAATAGCTGGAGGTGTAATAGCCTACATCAGCTCATCCAGCTCCATTTCCAGCCCAGAGTCCTGTCATAGTGACTCCTCCAATGGCAGCTATCAGTCATCCTCGCCTCCTCGAGGCTCCTCACCCAGCCACAGCCAGCTGGCTCCAGCCAGCCCCTCACCAGCTGCTGGCAACCAAAACCTTCCAGGGACTCCGAAAAGTGGGCGCTCCACATCCTCAGGAAAATCTGGCATCACCAGTAAGACAATAATTGTGCAATAATTTTTACAGATATCTTTCCATTGTTATTATTGCAGAATAAACTTTGAAGACGTGAAAATGAAGATTAATTAGTATTATTAAGAATTAAGAATTTTTTATACAACTTGTATAATTTTAAGCAACTTGAGACATTTGGCAAAAAAAATAATGTTATGTAGTTAGATTTATTGTGCAAAGACAAAACAGATTCTAAGAGTTAAGTTATTTATTATCTGAGAAGTTGGTCTGGTTTTTACAGATATTTTTGTGTGTTACTACTATCCAGTCTTTTTTTTCACTCTGCAAGAAGATGTACTTCTATGATTTCACTTTATTCCTTTAATTTTCTATATCCAAGTTCTGGTAATTTTACATTTTTGCAAGTGTCTCAGGAAATTACATCATATTGAAAAGTATTTAACCTTCTATCAGTGCATACAACAGGCCCACAATAGTGGTAAATCTGTCTTTTTCCTGTAAAACACCATTCCATAGTTTACGTATTAAACATGCAAAAGTTCCTTTTATTCACCCTTTTTCAGATGTACAATAAGAAAATATTCTTGTGTCAATCAGAAATCAATGGCCTGGTGCTGCTATGTAAAGTGTGCGGTGATGTGGCCTCTGGTTTTCACTATGGAGTCCATGCCTGCGAGGGATGTAAGGTGAGGGCAATTTCTTGAAACACAAACATACTTTAAGGATGATGGAGAGTGATTCTGTGTGTTGCAATCAACTTTGAATGTTCTTAAAGTGGGTCAGTGTGAGCAAAGCCATCTGTGCAGCTACAAACTTAAACTCAGTAAAACTAGTTCACTTTCTCCCCATATTTTCATCCACTGGCCTACATATTTAATGTGATTGTGTGGCCTAGTTAGCTGTGGGGAGCAGTGCACAGTCACACATGCACAAATGTTACATGAGATCATTGTCTTAAAGCATCATTACATTTAATTGTTTAAAATCACATTATTTTACTGAGTCTTTCCTAAAACTGTACATTTAGCAAAACTGAAGGCAGTTTCTTTCGATTATTATATTTTTTATATGAATATTGTCACTCTATGCACCCTCAGGGCTTTTTCAGGAGGAGCATCCAGCAGAACATTCAGTATAAGAAGTGCCTTAAGAGCGAGAGCTGCCCTATAATGAGAATCAACAGGAATCGCTGCCAGCAGTGCCGCTTCAAAAAATGCCTGATGGTTGGGATGTCCAGAGACTGTGAGTACCTGTACTCTAAGTGTTTTTGTGATAGACAACAGATGATGAAGAAAGTTTATTAGAAATGTTCCTTAATAAATGTAAGTTTTTCAGTACATCTTTACAAAGTATACAGTACATCTTTGTTTTAGCCAACAAAAAAAAAAGTACACCAATCACATGGAATGTTCTCTCCTTTCTATTCAGCTGTACGCTTTGGTCGAATCCCAAAGCGGGAGAAGCAGCGCATGCTGCTGGAGATGCAGAGTGCCATGACCAACATGATGAACAACAACCAACTGCAAAGTCAGCTGCACAGCAACCAGTTGCTGCCCATTGCCAAAGTGCTGCCAGCCAGTGGCACTGAACATATCTCTAAAGACACCGGCTCCACCTCCTCTCTTTCCTCTTCGCCACACTCCAGCCAATCGGAGTCCAGTTGTGACCCTGAGCCTGCTGTGTCAATGGACACCAGTTCCAACTCATGCTCTCCCAGCTCCTCTGATAGCAGCGAGGAGGAGGTGATTGGCTCTGTGACCAGGGCCCACCAGGAGACTTTCATGTACAACCAGGAGCATAGCAGTCTCACAGCAGAGATACCACCGTGCCATGCGTCCTTGAACAATGGCTTTGAGAAAACCAATGAAAACCAGTGCATAGAGCAGGGGCAGGATGTCTGGAACCACCACAACAATCTCGTTACTGTGGCAGGACAAAACTTGTCTTCCATCATGGGCCCTCAGGGGAAGGAAAAAAACACTCCCATCGAGTGCCCATTCCGAGTCTCCAGGAGCACCACCGCCAGCCACTCTCCAGCCTATATACACGGAGCTGTAAGATCTCTGCACACAGAGGGCTACACCTATGGAGCCCATGGAAAGCCTGTGTGGATAGGAGGCAACAGGATGCATCTGGTAAGGTTTAAGTCAATATAGTGAGCCCTAAAAAAGGGAGATAAACTTTCTTTTTAACTTCTCTCACTCTCTCTCTGGTTAGTTTTTTTCCCATAAATTCTGCCTGATAGTGTAGCATCTCAATCTGAGTTTACTGATTAAAGTTTGATTACATTGTGCAGGTTCATGTGAACTCTAATTGAATGTCTGTTTTCAGGTTTGTCCCATGAACACATCTCCTCATGTCGACTCCGACAAGTCTGGCCAACAGGTGTGGGAAGAATTCTCCCAAAGTTTCACCCCTGCTGTCAGGGAGGTGGTGGAATTTGCCAAGAAAATCCCGGGTTTCAGAGACCTGTCGCAGCATGACCAGGTCAGCCTGTTAAAGGCTGGCACCTTTGAGGTACATTGTGTTTTTCTTTTCTTTTCACCCTCCCCACTCTGCACGATTAAGCAGATTTAGGGGTTTAGAGAAGGACTGTGTGCTCAGGTGTTGTCATGTCCTGCAGGTGTTGGTGGTTCGCTTTGCCTCACTGTTTGACGTGAAAGAGCGCACAGTCACCTTTCTGGGTGGGAAGAGCTTCAGTGTGGATGCACTAAGGGCCATGGGGTCTGGAGACCTCCTTAACTCCATGTTTGATTTCAGCCTGAAGCTCATGAACTTGGGTCTCAGTGAGGAGGAGATGAGCCTCTTTACTGCTGTAGTGTTAGTCTCTGCTGGTGAGTGGTCAAGCAACTTCTTAATGAAGCTTGTTTAATGGGGCTTAATCAATGCACTTAGGAAAATGATGAAGCAAGTTAAAAATTTCTTGTCACATCATGTCAGTTTTTCTGTTTGGCAAGTTCAGTGAGATTTACAATGTTGTTGCTTAAAAAACAAAACAAAATAACACCTCAGGCATGCTTAGAAACTTTGATAACTGCAAGATTATTTTTCTCAAACTATTTTCATCCACCTTCTTGTCCTCACACCTTTTAACAATGAATTAAAGCATTACAAAGCTGGTTTGATACAGGGATATTATATTTGTTGTTTGAAAAATGCAACCCAGACATACTGAATGAGTAGTTGTCTCCAAAGTGTTAACAGTTACCATTGCCATGTCACCCATATAAAATGAACAAATATTTTCTGGAAATTGCCAATATCAATATTATAGCATTAAAAATGAACAATTGGATATTTTCAATAAACCAAATTTAACCATAGTCCACCATTTTTGGATAAGGACTGACTATGTAGATCAATCCTATGAATGTTTTTACCTGTAGAAACGGTTGAAATCTTGCTCTTTTTCATTTTAAACAATAATTTGCCATCAGCCTAACGTATGCTGCCCATTCCTCCAACCAGATCGCTCAGGCATTGAGAATGTTAACTCCGTTGAGGCCCTGCAGGAGACGCTGATCCGCGCTTTACGAAGCCTCATCACCAGAAATCACCCCAACGAGTCAGCCATCTTCACCAAGCTGCTGCTCAAACTGCCTGACCTGCGCTCGCTCAACAACATGCACTCTGAGCAGCTGCTGGCCTTCAAGGTCCATTCCTAAATTTTCTTGACTTCCCCAAATGTACACAAGCTTAATACATGGAGGCCACACAGACATGCTGCTCCACCTCATCTCCCACCGATGGGTGCGCACTTCCACCACTCTCCTCTGAGGCTTTAAGTTGTTCTCCTACTGGTGACAGGTTGAAATCTACATTTACTCAGTGTGGCCGACTGTTAAACATTCTCATATTGCACTGTACCTTTAGGCATGACTGTCAGTGCAATGTTAATGCATTCATACATACAACACAACTGACTGAGGTGTATGTTTTTTCTGCTGTTTGTGTGCAGTAGCTGTACAGATGTTAGAAGCACTTTTCTGTTTAGTGTACATTAAGGTCTTTGCATTCATAGTGCAATATATGACTGTTTTCTTTTTAGCACAGTTGCAATGAATCAAGAATGTTTTTTTTCTTCCTGTGGCTTATTCTATAAGAGCTTTCCAGTGGGGCCATTCAAGAAATTAGATTGTAAGGTATAATGTGAGTGGTTTTGGAAGCAAAGATCTCCCTTCGCAAGTAATATACAATTGTTGTTTACTTGTATTTTTCCATCAGTTTCTGTGCTTTTTCTGTCTCTATATTATTTGGGCATTGTGGCAAACCAAATTCGTTTTTAGTTTTCTTATCTTGGATCAGTGGAGATGGATTGTGACATCCTGAAATTGGGGACCTGAACTGGTCTGAGAGTTCCATTTTCCTATCTTTCATCTATTAGAGATCGTGGCATCCCTGGTCTTACTTGTTTCAAGCCATACTGATTTTTGGATAACAGCCAGCAAAGAAAACATTTCTCAGCTACCAGCAGCCCCCTACTGCTTAAACAATCTTCATTTAGTTTTACAATACTGTAAATACTTTAGGTGGTTTTCGTTTGTGATTAGTAGCACTATACCACTTAAGATGAGATTGTATTGTCTATGAAGTGATTGTAATTTAAGAAAATATGATTATTTAACAGCTGAGTCACTTGGGTTAAAATATTTTCTTTTTTTGTTCATGAATCCAGAATGCCTGATTTTTGATATCCAGAGTTTCTGTCTTTGTGTTAATAGTGATGACTCGTGGGTTTGTTTTCCTCTGTGAAACAATTGCAGTATACATAGATTTCTTTATATCGTTATATGATAATAAAGATATATATACTATAATACAAAGATGAATATCTATATAAATACATTTTGTAAATACAGTGAATTGCTTTTTTCTTGTGTCCTTATAGTAAATAATGTAATCAGACATGTCATACATCTAGGGATTTTAAACTGTGTGAACATTATTGGGTCATATTTTCAAAACAGCCAGTCATTGGTAAATGTCTAAATAATGGTGTGAAAAAAGCTCTGGTGGTTTACACGCTCACAACCAGAAAGTTCCTGTTCAAAATATCCGTTGTGTGTGGAAAATGGAGAAAGTGAGCTAAGTCAAGCAAAGTAAGTGAAGTTTGTAGCCAAAGGTATGGCTGCAAAAATGGTGCCGGACGTAGTAAGTATAACATACATATATGCACGTATTAAGATGCTTCAGAAATTTTTTTTAGGGATTGGAATGTTTGAAACACTACATTAATTCATTATTATCAATCAAAAGATTTGGCCAATATAAATATGTGGAAAAACCCATAACTTAGTAGCCTGTTGAACCACCTTCAGCAGCAGATAACTCTGAGTTTAAGTGCTGTAGTTCTCAATGTTAGACAGATGCCCTCAAATGTTCAGAATCATTTGTCATAAATGACTGAGTGCCCAGATCCTGAAGACCAAACCATCAGTTCTTTAATACCTCTTTTTCGGTTTATGCCTGCATGCCAATGTGGGGTCCTTTTCATGAAACAAGTTAAACTAACTGAGTGAAATCATAGTTTCTGAATTGATCTACTCTCAAGTTAGAAACTCGATATCATAAAGGCTGTTGAGGAATGTTCTCGGTGGAGCCCCGATTCAACGAGTCACCATGACAACAGGCAAGCGGAGTTTTTCACTAAAACGTAACTAGACAACTTTAATGCAGGCGCACGGGGAGTTTGAATATGTTTTTAAATGAAAAAGCAACATGGCTGCAGCTGCAAAGCAGAGAGAGAAGACTGCTGCTGGAGTTAATGCTTAAGTTTACGATAACATTACAGGGAAAACGAGTTTTTCTGCTTGAATACCAGTGTATTACAGTTTTTCTCGATTGTTTACACACAAATATTGGTACTTGAAACACAATGACCACAAAATGTAACTAATGCACCAACCCCCTGAACCAATTCTGCTAAACTACAAGCACAATTCCTGCTTTACACTCAAATTGCACTTCTAAAACACACTTTTTCCAAAACTCTACACACAATTGTCATGAAGAAAATCTTTTGTTTTCACAAGGAACACACTGTTATTCAAAACTCTAAAGTTAATTTCCCTACTATGCACACTGACTCCTCACATGGGCAAACACCTAACACACATGTTTCCACACAGCAATCAGAGCTTTAGCATAAAAGGGCAACAGGTGAGCTCTTCTGTTTTGGAGCAATGGAGGTTGTAAACAGAGGCAGAGGCAGAGTCAGAGGAGTGAGAGTAAGAGGAGGACGATGGGGAGGACGAGGACGAGGAAGGCCAAGGACAATCATTTCTGATGAGATCCGAGCCACTTTGGTTGACCATGTGGTCAACCATGGCCTAACAATGAGGGAGGCTGGGCAAAGAGTTCAGCCAAATTTGAGCAGGTACACTGTAGCATCCATCATCCGGACTTTCCGCAATGAGAATAGGTAAGAAATCTACTCTCACTACAAAACTGCAGTACTGCATATCAATACAGTACTCAATGAGTACAGTAGTACAGTATTACCTGTGGATTGTTCTGTAGGACATTGTGTTTCGAGTATTTGGGAAATGTATTCCTACACAGTATTTACAGTATTGCACTCTTTGTATTGCAGAACTGAAAGATTACCAACAAGAGGTGGACGGGGCCGTCTTCTGTCTCCTGAACAGGAAACAGAAATCATGAACATGGTTCTTGAAAATAACGCCATTACCTTACGGCAAATACAAAGAAAAATAATAGAAAACAATGAGATATTTCAAAATATTGATAGGGTAAGTTTATCAACGCTGGACCGTGTCTTGCACAGAAATAAACTGAGGATGAAGCAGGTCTACAGGGTGCCATTTGAGCGCAATTCAGAAAGAGTCAAAGAATTGCGATATAACTATGTGCAAGTACGTCCTATACATTCCCACCCTTGATGCATACTGTCAACATTGTATAAATCATACATATTTCTTTCTATTATATTGTAATCATAATGATTGTGCTTCACAATAGTGACCGCTCCATGTCTACTTCTGATATTGTCATGTGTGTTTCAGAGAGTCCTTGAGCTGGAGGTGGATGCAGTGGAGCACCAGTTCATCCTCATTGATGAGGTTGGATTCAACCTCACAAAAAGACGAAGGAGGGGAAGGAATATAATCGGCCAGCGTGCCATTGTTGAAGCCCCTGGCCAGCGCGGAGGGAACATCACAATGTGTGCAGCGATGACCCACCATGGCATCATCCATCACCATGCTACCCTTGGCCCCTACAACACTGCCCATCTGATCACATTCCTGGACACCCTACACAACACACTCATTCCACCAGATCAGATAGACGGCCCAGAGCAGCTCAGGTACGTTGTCATTTGGGACAACGTAAGCTTCCACCGGGCTGCTCTGGTTCATAACTGGTTCACTGACCACCCACTTTTCAGTTGTTTATCTCCCTCCATATTCTCCATTCCTCAATCCTATTGAGGATTTTTTTCTGCCTGGAGATGGAAAGTGTACGACCTACATTCAGAAACGCGTATACCCCTTCTCCAAGCTATGGAAGACGCATGTGGAGATATAGCAGTTGATGCTTTTCATGGCTGGATTCGCCATGCTAGGCGATATTTCCCCCGCTGCTTGGCCAGGGAAAACATTGCTTGTGATGTAGATGAGGTGCTGTGGCCAGACCGAAACAGAAGAGAGGATGCAGCATAGTTTATTTTGTTTTGTTTTTTTATTATTACTGTAACTGTATACAGTAAAATCTTCTGCACTGTATGTGCAACTTTGTGTCGGTTGGGATGTACACTGTGTACATTGTTTTGTGGGAAAAATAAAACATGTTTGTCACAATATATTAGTTTTTTCTGAGTATAAAAACAATATTCTAAAATATTTTACAACGCACCTATGTATCTAATGTCTGTAGTAAGTGTAACACTGAACAAAAAGTCATTATGATGAATGGAGAATGGTGTTTTACACTGAGCACATCAGTGTTTAAATGCTTTTTTAAATTGTCTGTTCATATGATAGTTTGTGTGTGTCATCTGAACACAAAATGGCCTTTGAGATAAAACTGTTTTGAATGTAAAGTTTCATTTTGCAGGAGAATTGAAGGGTTTTGCCCATTGTGTGTGTGTTTGTTGGATTTGTGTGTAGAGTTCTGAGAATACGAGGATTGTTTTTAGAAATGTGTGTAAACAATCCAGAAAAACTGTAATATATTCTGTTAAGTGAGAGAGGCAGACATGGCCGCGGCTGAAGATGAGAATAACACGTTTGTAGAGGCAGGGATGGGTTTAGGGTGCAGATATTTTCTGTTGACCACCAAAGTAACCGCTAAAGTTGACCACTAAAGCTTTTTTTCATCTTGCAAGTGTGTTATACTGAAAGTAAAACAAACACCGTTCAAGCAGTAATGGATTAATATTTCCTCTTTGGACTCAGCGCGTCAGACAGAGCCCTGCGTCCTTGCCTCCGTGACTAATTTGGTTTCCGATAGTCACACAAAAACGTTGTTCAAACAGGGAAGAATTGTTCATCATCTTATGGGGTACCTCTTCACTTTTGCAGTAAATATGAAGTGGCCGTTTGATTGTGTTTCTATAATGCTGTTTCACACACATCAATATGCTTACCATATCAAGTTATTTTAAACATTTAAACCTTTTTATACCAACACAGACTTTTTCTCA